GCAAGTCCTCTTCTGTATAGTGAAGTCTTTGATATGAAAATGTAAAATATAAATGTGAGGAGGAAATGTGTGCAGATACGTTTCGTCAATTGAGAAAGAAATTTCACACAAAGGTACATGCAGATACATGTAAGGGCTTAGCTTAAGTTTTTTATGCAGCCTATACTATAGTATCAGGCCCAGTTGGTGCACAGACCTATATATCAAGGACCTGGACATATTATGAGGTTTATTAGATTTCAAAGGAATTTTAGTTATCAAGTTGGGGACTTACTGTATTGCATATTTACGCCCTACATGGGCCAAATGCACTAAGATAACTGAGATACATGGGTAGGAGGAACAAGTGCTACATTACTGTGCAACATCTATGTCTTGTATAAGATCTCTCTTTTTAAAACAACAAGACACTCTCTGCCCTACATCAAAGCTGCACACAAACTTGTGAACCATAACACTGGCCCAAAACATGCCTCGTTACCTGTGCTTTTTAACGACCCTGGCAGAGATCTCTAGAAGAGAGGGAAACGTCAGCCTCCCCATCAGTGTGGACGGACCGTCCTCCAGGAACGGGTTCTCAAACAGGTCCACTGTCTCCAGCTGCAGCTGCAGGAAGGACGCCTGCAAAATGGGAATCAGAGCAAGGTTTGGAAAATGTAAATCTCAACTAGAAAGGTAACAAATTGCGTATAAATGTTTACCTTCACATGGTCTTACCTAACAAATAACTGCTCTGTTAATTTGTACTCCAACACATTCATATACATACATGGTGACTGTGCAGCCCCTTCAACTCTATCCTGCCAATTGCTACATAATGTAATCCAACACCACTGGTGTCCACTACAGCACCGGTTACCATGGCAACAGCAGTGTGGTCCAGGTCATTGACCTTATTTGTTTGGAAGGGAAGAAGTTGAAGAAACTGAGCAGAAACAATGTTTTCCTTCTACAAAGGTAAACATGATTGACAAACCAGCACTCAATAACCTGGGATTGAGAGAAAAGCTGATTACAAGATTGCAGGTCATGTGGCGCAGCGGTAGTGCGTTCGGCTCGGGACCGAGAGGTCCAGGGTTCCATCCCCACCCATGTCACCGATCTTGTGCCCTTGGGAAAGGCACTTTACACGAATTTCCTCACTTCACTCAGGGGTAAATGAGTACCTAGCTTCGGTTAGGGACATCCCTCGGATAGGACGTAAACTGGAGGTCCTGTGTTTGAGGAGAGCCACACCTCGAGCACGTTAAAGATCCCACCACACCTTTCGAAAAAGAGTAGGGGCATGCCCCGGTGTGCGATGGTCCAAATTCTACAACCCAAATTCTACAGTGTAGCAGAATCATCAGCAAGTTGATGTTGGCTACCTTAACCCCCAAGACCAAGACCCCAAGACAAGACCAGACTGACCGGCAGC